TGGTACTTATTCCTCTCTTAATTGAGCTGAATATTTTTACAACACAAAGTTGTTTTTATACTCCGTAACGTTCCTTAAAGTGTTTCAAAGTTGAAAGATAATAATTATAATTTGTTTAATGACTTTTTAAATTTTTGTATCTTTTGGCGCCTTTTCTAGATATTCATCTGAGGTAAATGCCTCACACTTGTCTGGACTTTGTGTGACATACAATGGCCGCTGCCATGCAACCGCCTTCCTTTGATTATCACCTCTTAAATTGGTCACACTTTTTGAGAACATAATTGAAGTAATTATACCGGAAGTATCACAAACAGTCATTTTTTTAGATGATCCCTTTCAGAGAAGATGATAACCGTGGTCGGGTGGTCTTCTTAGGAAGGCTTCGCCACCTTTTATCGAAAAGGGTTATTCTTACAACTTTTTTACACAAATGACACATTTTATAATTGTTTTATCTTTTTACTGTTTTTTCAAAGGAAATAATTTCTTATAAGAAATAACAAAAGTATTCCCATTAGATGCTTTGGTGAAGTGAAATAGATCTCTTTTATATTTTCGACGACAATGTAAACTTCCGTTACTCTAACTACAAAGTACTACAGACATTACAGTTTTTTTAAAATGTAAATTGATTACTTTTATAGATTGTTGGCTTATTGCCCTTAGAATATCGTTTCGTTTCTGAAGGAAAGCAACCTATGCCAGACGACTCTCCAAATTGACAGAGCTTTATTTAAAATTAGCACCAATCTAAATTTGCTTTTTTTTTTTTTTTTTGCCTAATTTTAGTATTATCCAGTGTTTGGTAGCCACTTTTTCTTCTATAAACTAATGATATCGAAATGAGTTCAACTATTAGTTGACAGATAAGTTTTGACTAGTGGTTTCTATTGGACAAATCAAATGGATTTTGAATTGCAATTATTAATTTATTAAGCGATTGTTTAAGGAGTTGCCGAAAAGTCAAGTAGAGGAAACGGTTAAACTATTTAGTTAAGAGATTAAAACATCATAAAAGTATTACAAATGTTTTAAAAAGTTGTATACTGATATGCTTTGGAAAAACAACCTTCGCAAATGCATAGGTATGATTAAAAAGAAGCTGCAAAGATTTAAAGGAATTATTAGCCAAAAATAACTTGCTTTCAGACATAGTTAGATTCAGCAGACAAACATAAAAGTAATTCTTGGCAAATTGATGTATCACTTGCAATATTTATAATATTGTTTCAAGCAAAATGTATGCTTGTAAGCCTGCAAGTATTCCACAATTATATTTCTTAGTGTTAATAGTAAGGAATTTACATATATAACGGCAGTTTGCTTGCAACTGCATCCTTTTACTTCTAATCTGTAGTTGTGAAAAACATTACAGACAAATTTAAGATATTCTGGTTTGAAATTATAATTTAAGCTCGCAAATTTGAGACTGCGAAATAATAAAAGGACAATAAAAGTACTTAAAGTTGTTTAAAATGATAATAAAAGTACTTGGAGTGGTTGGCCAAGTAAAGCAATAATTTCAACAGTCTAATAAGGGGCGCCTTCCTAATAGCAATCAAGACAATGAGCATAAATACGCACGCGGGATATCTATGGATCTATAAAGATGCCAAATAGAGTAAACGGTTATAGTCCATAAAGTAAAAGTTTCTTAATGATGTTATTTCCTTTCTTATCTTCTTGGCTTTAGAAGTAGAAATTATTTGATAACAATTCAATAAACGATCATAATAAAATATCATTATATCCCTCTCAGCGTGTTCTAGAATCCCATCAAATGACTTGAACCTGCTAATGCTGAGCATTAACTAGGAGTTTGTTATCCATGGTAGGACAATCAAACTCTAATCAAGCAGATACTGCTCCTTCTTTATTCTCAATGAATCAAATTCTCTTTAAACATACACGTAAATCAATGATACAGGCTAAGCTTTAAAAGCTGAACTATAATAGGTCATATTCCTTGTTGAAGTTATGAATGCACTCTACTCATCTTACAAATTTAGTCATTTCCAAAACACTAGGTTCTCACGAGAAAAATCTTTTCGCCTAATTGTTACGTTAGTTTAAAAAATGAATCGCTGAAAGCAAATCAAACTAAAATCATATCTGTTACGAACAATAAACGCAGACTGCTCTCTTGTGCGCAATTAAATAACTTAGAAGTGCACTTACATATTATATAAGCAGAGTTCAAATCTTATCTATATTCAGCTTCTAGTAGTATGTGAAAAAGTTAAAATTCACATAAGCTGAACACAAGTAAATTCAGTATAATTGTTCCGAAGTCAAAAAGAATGTTTCGTTATTAGAGGTTATTCAATATGATTTTTTTTTGCGATTTGTAAAGGAAGAAGCTCTGCTTTAATATATTTCTGCATTTAGCATTATGTATTATTGGGTATTAATAAAGTGGAAATGTATCTAAGAGAAAGCACATAAGCTACATGTTGCATGTAAAACAGTGGGCGGGTAGATAAGACCAGGATTCGAACAACGGACTGGCTGCATTAGCGTTTTCATGGTTTTCCTTATGTGTAATATGAATATGAGCCAGTTTTGCTTGGAATGTCCTCCATAAGGTATACCTTCTCTCGGAAAGATATTCCTGTGTGCTTTGCCATAATCAAAATAATCTAGTCCAAACCAATGTAAGCCAAGCATTTTACAAACGCAAAAAAATTAAAGAAAATTATTGATTATTTCAATGATTTCGTGGTTAAGCCTCTTCTTCACAAATTAGAAAATTATACTTTATAATTAAATAAATTTGCAAATATTGTTATATTTAAGTACCTGTTTAACATAAAGTATTATTCATTTCTCATTGCGCAGGGTCATCATTCCGGGAAGCTGCAAATCTGCCTGTAATTGTTGACTCCTTAGAAAGCAATTATTAATTCCCTGATATTGACCGAAGACTCAGTTGTAACATAAATAGTATACTGATTCATATTTTTCTGTGTTCATATATGCACTGTATTGTGATTATAGCTACAAAGGGTCCTGTGTCTAAAGATACCCGTGTAACAATACGCCTTTATATAGAAAAATGTTTCATACGGCAAACTTGACACGTCGTTATTTAAGAAAAAAGTGGGAGACAGATAAGAGAAAGTGCTGAAACGTTCATGCTGCTGAAATGCTTAAAAACTTACTCTCTTCCTTTGCATCATCTAAAGGTTTGCTTCTTTGACGTATGTGTCACAGTTGTAAAGAATTACCGCATTCTTGCAGTGCGCCTGCCTATTCGGTGCTTAAGTTGTTGGCCAGCTGACCGTGAGAAGATCAATGGCTTATATCCGATGAGGATATAGCTGAGTTTTTGTATTTTCTACTGTGGAAAAAAAAAAAAAAAAAAAAAAAAAAAAAAAAAAAAAAAAAACGGAATAACTTGCGTAGTTGCGTTCGAACAAAAATATAATAGAAAAAACAAGTCATCATCTAAAATGGGTTGACTAGTTCTCGTTCCTCTCTTCAGTCGCCCTTTAAGTAAGAAAACATTTATTTAATGTTGTAAACAGTGAATGATACTTTTATTTATGCTCTTCAATTTGCATTAGCAATCTGCATACAAGGTGGAATTTTAGAATCGAAAAAATATTTAGCATGAAGTTCTCCCTGAGTTTTACATTTTGACATTAAAATTCAGGGATTATAGTGGAAATAATTAAAGGCATTGAATTTTGAAGTTAAAAGTTTTTTTGAATTTATATTGTTGATTTGATACATATTTATAGAATCAACAATGTAAATCAGGATAAATTAAAGTCCAACTTTTATTTACTTAACTGCATACTAGCAGTTTAAGAGGATTTGCTCAATAGTCCTTCATAATATAAAGATTTCATAAAGTGTTCTGTTAATTTTATTAACATTTTCATGAAAATGGCTTAATTTTAACTTATAGCATTACTTATACATATCAAATTCAATACTAACACTATATTAGTAAAACCATGTTCTTAGTACTGCATTTATTTTTAAATTTTGTTGTTAACTTGAAACCAGCCGCCGTTATCTCATTATTGGTCTAGCAATCTTAATTTCAGCACATGATTTAAACATTTAACGTTAAAATAATTTAATATATAATACGAATAATTACAGAACTTATTTTTAAATTTAATATGGATGATAATTCATATATAATTTTTTAAATAACATTTACTTAACTCAGTTCTTTATGCTTTAATTTTTAATTCAAAACATTATATTTGTTTATTATTCAGTAGTATTATAAATTGAAAAAAAAATAACTTTTATTTTTTTGCTACAATATTTACATTAACTTTCCTTAACTACTATAACAAGTTTTAATTAATTAGCAGCAATTCAGATTCTCTGTTGCATATTTAATATGTAATAATCATGACGGAAAGAAGCTATATAATCAGTAAAATATATTTGTAATTGTTTTTAACTACTTGTATTTTTCACTTAATCCTCTTTCCTAATTCATCCACACCAAGGTACTGAGATATTTAAATTACTTTTAATTTTTTCAAACACAGTACTAACACATCGTTCAATAAGTCCCGGGACTAACCAAAAGATGGTGTTAGTAATATCAGCTTGACTTCATTGTTCGAAAGAACTAACCTTCAAATGACACGTGTCTACTTTTCAAGGCATTCGATGATTTATTTAATTATGGCAAAGCTCACTAGGGCTATCTGCCTAAGGGAAGGGATGCCTTCGTGGAGGAATTTCTAAGGGAAACTGGCTCGTATACACGTTACACATGGGAAAAACCACGAAAACACCCATGCAGCCAGCCCGTTCGCGGGATTCGAACCTCAGACCGAATTACCAGTGTTCAGCGACTTTACCGCTCGGCGGGCATTCAAGGCATTCGGACCAGAAACAGCGAAGCTACTGTGGTGAAAGTGACACTACTTGTGCATTTGGGTAGACAAAATGGAGAAAAACGAATTTCGAGTGTTGATCAAACATTGCTATTTAATGAGCAAAAATACCGTGCAAGCTCAGCAATGGCTTGGAAAATGTTATCCATACACTGCTCCATCGAAAACAACCTTTGCCGTTGGTATGCTGATTTCAAGTACGGTCGCACGGATACAAATGATGCGTCACTCTCGGGTAGGTCAAATGAAGCAGTCGCTCCAGAAAATGTGAAACAAATGTTGAAAATCGTAATGAATGACCGCAAAGTGAAAGTTCGTGAGATTGCTGAGATGGTAAACATATCAACTGGAAGCGCGTGTATGATTTTACATGAAAAGTTGGGAATGAAAAAAGTGTTTCCCAAATGTGTGCCGCATGTGCTCACAATGGCACAAAAGCAACAACAAGTCGATGATTTACAGAGCTGTTTGTCACTGTTTACCCGCAATAAACAGGATTTCTTGCGCCGATATGTGACAATGGACGAAACATGGATCCACTATTTCACTCTGGAGTCAAAGCAGCAGTCAGCTGAGTCGCGTGCAGCCGGTGAAAGCCATCCGAAGCGTCCAAAAACGAAGCAGTCAGCTGGCAAAGTCATGGCGTCTGTTCTTTGGGATGCGCGAGGAATAATTTACATCGAATACCTTGGAAAGGGAAAAATATATCGATAGCGCCTATTACAGTGAGTTATTGATGCGTCCTGAAAGACAAAATCGCAAAAAAACGACCGCATATGAAGAAAAATTCATCTTCAGTCAAGACAATGCCCCATGCCACAAGTCAATGCAAACACTGGTTACATTGAACGAGTTGGGCTTCACTCTGCCTCCCCACCCACTATACTCTCCATATCCAGGCCCCAGTGACTACTGGCTGTTAGTTGATCTCAAAAAGATGCTCCAAGCGAAAAGATTTGGCTTAAATAAGGAAGTCATCGCTGCCACTGAAGCTTATTTTGCGGACAAGGCCAAACGTTTAACAAGCATGTTATCGAAAAGTTAGAAAAGCCTTGGAATGATTTGCATAGCTCTTCATGGTGATTATGTTGATGAATAAACGTGAATTTTTTTTAAATGGATGTTGCTTTCTTAGTTAGTTCCGGGACTCATTGAACGATGTGTTATTTCTTTAACTGCATATTACCAACAGTTACCTTATATATAACTGCATTTTACATTTGTAAACCTTGCATATTTCGATTTTTGAAAGATTTTCTTGTTAATCATATCCCAACTTGCCGCCATCAACAGGTAATTATGCTAAGTTTGCTGAATTTCCGTATGCTATAAAGAGTTTCTGATTCCATTCCTACCAGAAGAAGCAACAGATTTTCTTATTTCAAACTCAGCCTCAAACAAATCAGAAATTTCATTACTCAGTTGCTGCCTACCTGTCTTCATCTTTCCTTATCCAAGGTGGCCCATTCTACCACAGTTCTTTGTCTTTCAGAGTGACTAACTTATATCTTCTAGGTAGCAAATCCACAGGATTTCCTTTTCCGGGACAGGGATTCCCAGATTTAAATTAGAAAGAGTCCTTATTTTTTCATCCCCCCTTTTTAAAAATTTTTTTTTACAAACACTTTCAGTTTTCAGAAATTGCCTTTGATCTGGTAAAGAATAATCATAGAATCAGACCAGAACTAAAATTTAGTACCTTTTGGAAGTTTCAATTTATGTCGAAGGTACTGAGATAAAATAGTGAATTAAGACAGGTTATTCCAATTAGTTTAAGGTTCAATATTTTGCGAAATTGCACGATTCGCCGATATTGTAGCCCGGCCGGGTAATTAAATTGCAAAAAACCCAAATGAATTAATAAGCATTGATTAATTAGGCTCATACCCACGTAGTGAAGTTTGCAAGAACAGGTATTTACTCGTTATCGCGTATCATTTTTCAAAGTGGGTAAAAATAATTCCCGTCAAAAGAGCCTTCGCTAAAATTCAGATTCTTTACTAAATTACTTTATTTCAAAATATTGGGCTCCACTAAAGGAAATTTCAGATAATGGAAAGCAATTTATTAGTCATATTTTTGAAGAATTATGCGCAGAGCTTGGCATACAACATCTAAAAATGGTTCCTTATCAGCCGCAGTCGAATATTGCAGAGCGGCTACATAAAATATAGTTAAGATTATTCGTAGTTATGCAAACAATTATCATAAGTGCTGGGTTATCTGTGTCAATTAACTCATTTGTTTTGAGGACTGCTAAACATGATACTATCATGGTGACGCTTAGCTGAGTTATGTTTTGGCAGAAAGTTAATTACCCCTTTGGATAAACAATTTTTTTTTTTTTTTTTTTTCAAAAGAGGGCTGAGGAGTTTAAAATGGCAGAAATCCAGAAGCTAGTCGAAGAAGCTATCCGTTATTCAGATATTGGAAGGAAAAGACAAAATTATGATATGATAAGAAAAGCGCAAATTTAATTTTAAAGTTTGAGATAAAGTGTTGAAAATTATGCATTCTCTTTCATGTGTACCTGAAGAGGAGAATATTTTTCCGAAATTTGAAGATCCGGATGTATAATGAATGGATATGGGAAGCAGTCGTTTATTTAAAGAAACAAAATGGGGAGAAGGTGGTAGCTAACGTAAACGAGATAAGGAAATATTATAAGCGCCTTAATATGTCCCTCCTGAAAGACAGTTTGCAGAAGACACCTTCTGAGAGAACTGTAGTGCCAGAGTCTACAGAATTTCAAGCGACATCGAGAATGCAAGTCCCGGAAAGCAAAAGAAGTGTTGCTGCCAATGTTCGAGCGGAAAATAAAAAAAGAAATGTTTGACGCATCAAAAGAAGGCGAGCTAAAGGAGAAAAGGGTGTCAGGACTAAGAAATAACAACGCTTCGAGGGAAAAAAAGAACAGCAATCCACCAGATCCAGCGAGCGACCAAAAGAGAATCAGTGCCAGCTGAGGGATAAGCTAACAAGATCTCAGTTGCCGCGTAAGAATGCGAACCTTCAAGTACCTTCAACGAAATATCTACGCCGAAAGCGGTCAAGGGAGGAGAAATCGCCGCAGAGGGAGGAAAGGATACAAGAACCAGAGGACAGTTCCGTCTAACCAATCGAGAAGGTTTCAGGAAAAACAAGGAGTTCCGACAAGGAGAAACGGCCGGCGCTTTCAGGATTCCCTGAGCAGCAGATGAAGGTTATAAGATTCCGTGAAAGACCCAAGGAACGGAAATGACCAGAGCATGTGGAATGCAATCATAAGCATCGTCAATGACTTCGTCGACAAACAGATGCGTGACTACTAGCGAAGCAATTTTTAGTTTTATGTCTAAAAGTGCAGCAGCTGCTATCTGTCTTAAGTTTTGCCTTAAACGAGGTTATTTCTGTTTTGTTATACAACTATAGAAGCTTTTGATTCAAGTGTGCATTTTCGCAATGATTTAAATTTAGTTTAAAAATATAATATCTGGTTTTAGTTCGTGAGACTGATTTTTTAGATTTGGCGTGATTGTAAAATAATTTTCAGCAACTTCTGTACATGTGATGTAAAGTGTTAACTGAATAAATTTTTCTCAATTTAAATGAATTGTAAATGTTTCATGAAGTATGTTTGATGAGTTATTTTTGTAAACGAAAACGTTTCCGTTAAACTATGTATTAAACACACAAATAGAGCCTTGCATATTTGTGAAAGGTGAATTCTTGACATGTTAAATATAAGCCAGCGAGTTCAGATAAAATAAGTTAAAAAAAAAAAAAAAAAGCTAGAGGTATTCATGTAATTAAAAATTAGGTTTTCAAGCCGACATTAAATTTTAACGAACTATTTTGCTTAGCACATTTGGTATAGTTTTGTATTTAAGATGTTTTTGACGGCTAGTGTGTCTTTGTTATTAAACGCTAGAATTTCGTTTAGGTGGTAATATTGAAATACTTGTACAATACCGCCCGCTCTTCCATTCAGTATATTTTGCTGGAGAGTAAGAGGGGAATTAAATGCTAGAAAGACTGCATGAAAAAAAGTTCTCCCAGTAAAGCTAAAATGGAAATGAGTATCCAATATTTTGACCAAAGTATTTTTCCTTCCAGATGACTAAAAAGATAGCTGATGTTTCTAAGAAGAAAAAGAAAACGTATGCCGTTGTTCTGGTGAAAATCATCTGTAATGTAATTAGTTTGTAAGCTGTTTGATTGTAAACAGTTGGCTCCTAATTGGAGCCAACTGTTTACAATGGTTTAAAATTTCAGATTTTACCCAGGGTCGATAAAGACCTTCGTGGCGATTGCTTAAATTCTGGCTAAGAAAGATGTAAGGGTTCCTTACGTTAACTAACCAGTTATTTTATGTTTTGCATCTTTACTGTCTCTTCTCCCTTCCGTTTTCCAGTCAGAATGCAAATTAGCTGGCATGCATTTAAAGCTAGGGTTTAGGATTCTAAAAGTGCCTTTCGAGGCCACGTTACTAGGTTTCTAGATCAGATAAGATTTGTAGTCTTAGGCCTTTCATTACAATTGCCGATATTGAATTTCCACGTTGCATAGATAACTGAGCGAGCTTCGCCGTTAAATTTATCTGTGTAGCGTTTGGATACTAGCTTATTTAAATTTAACTTTACATTTGAACTTAAGTGTTATTTTAAGTTATCTCGCCACAAGTGGTTGGTTGATTTGTAAGCTGTATTTTCATTCTGTTCTTTTTAGTTTTAAATCAAAAGGCTTTTTACACCCTTCTCAAGTTTCAGTTGTACTTTTAGACTCAGCGATAATTCGCTCAACGTCTACCAAGAGTTACTTTTCAACTTCTGAACTGTTTTAGATGATCATTATTAAACTATCACTTCCTTAACTTACACTTTCTTATTTAATTATAAATTAATGTCAAGTAGAGAAGTAAGATCGCTTTTTATCGGCAGTTTTTAGATGATAAATGTTCTTTCTAAAAAATTAGAGTTGCGGTTTCATTACTTTCTGCTTAACCTTAATGCAAGTCCGGTGCTAGTCGTTATGAAAATGTCTCTGCCTGTCAAAAATTGTTGGCAGTTAAAGCAAGGCCCATTTTCTTAGTTCTCTGAAAAGGCAAAAAATGACTCATAATATAACAGTTTGCTCGAAAAACTGATTTGATTTTTAAACATATGAGCTTCATTCAACAAAGGACTATTCACTTGGAAAGTGTTTAGAGAGGAGGCAGTGACCCCCTCCCCCAGTCAGACAAGCTTAATTTTACAGCGCACCGATAATAAAGTAGCATTTGAATAGCTGCTAGGGTTATTAAGCTGTGGGAAGTAGGTCGCAACACTGCAGGGGATTGTAGTTACTCCTCATTAGCAAGAATAAACGCACATTAGTTCTTCTGAAACAGCGTGTACAGTAATAATGAAGAGATTGTATGAATAAGGGAAATACTTCGTGGTATTTAATTAAAGGAACGAAAAGATTATGTGACACAAAACACCTTGTGATGTAATGTTGCTTTTTCTTAGTTTCTGTTTTTTTTTTACGTCCAATTAGTTTAAATAGGTTGTTAGTTTTTCGTTTACACAAAGCCCTGAATGAATTAATTTTAATACAATGTTGTTTCCAAGGATATTTTAGGAACTACGAACTTTATTTCTCTTGTCCTCTATTTACAGAGCGGGAGCAAGGGCTTTAGGAGAACAACTAAAGGGGGCATCAAATAAGATAAGGAAATTAAAAATTCGTTTAAA